CCTGGGTAAATGGGAGCTCCCCAAAACCTGCAGCTAACACCACGCCCAGGGCTGAGAGCTGAATGCTTCTTCTCCTAGACTGGGAACGAGGCGGATTCGTCCCCTCTCACGGCCTGCACTTCCAGCCACCTCAGAAAGGCGAGGAAAAGAAAGAAGAGCCATACAGATCGGAGGGGAAAAAACTCCAGACTGCCCCTATTGGAGATGACATGACCACCTGCCAATCAAGTGCTGGAACCCATCAATGCCTTCGATAGGGCAGGACAGGAGATCAACACACAGAAGTTGGCTGTCGTTTTATACAGGAACAACGACATGTGGTTAGAAGTTATTTAACGTTTTTTGACTAGACGATATTTTCACATGGGTCAAAACATACAGGTATAAAAATGTGCACGTGCTCCGCCTACCGGGTCCCTGACCCTCCGGAACAAGGACCCACAGCTAGTACATTCTGGAGTCCCCCTTTCAGAAGTTCTTTTTACTGCCCGCACGAGGAATTACGAATACATATCTTTCTCCATTTAGTCCATCCTTTTTAATATCAGCGATAACCTATTCTACACACCGTTCTTTACCTTGCCCTTTTCAGTTAACATTATGTCTTGGAGATCTTCTCATCCCTGCGGACACATGGCTCCCTCTGGTTTGCAGCCGCATGGCACACTATGGCACAGAGCGTTACGGCTTCCTAAACCACGGCGGGTGCTGAGGATTTTTCTAGTCTTTTCTACGATAAGCAATACCTCAAGCAACAAACTTGTTTATCCTTGCTGGAACACATCTGCAGGACCAGGCCTTGGAGGTGGATTGGCGAGGTCTGTGGAGTCGTCACTCTGTGAGCTCTTTCCAAATTCCCCTCCGTAGAGATGGCACAGTTTCTCACACCCGCTGGAACTGTTGAAGAGAGTTTCTCACCCCCGCCCCGGGCCTCCAGGCACAGTGTGTTATCAAGGGTTCGCAGGGTCGCCAATCAGATAAGTAAAAAAAATGGTACCTAGGTGTGGTTGCATTGGCCTTTTCTCTGATAGGAGCGGGGGGGGCGGGGGGGCAGAGCCTCAAACACCGGGTGCATCTCCTTCCCTGTGAACTGGCGGTTCAGCTCTCCACGTGTCTGTTTTATTGTGTTTGCCAAAGACTTGTTTTGAATGTATTTGTATTTGCTACTGTTTTTTCTGTTTTCCAATTTGTTCACGTCTGCTTTTATTTTTATACTCCTTCCTTTTGAACTTCTTAGCATATTATGTTGTTGTTAAGATGCTTAATGTGTTTTTTCTCTTTGTTTATTGATGTGTGCAGGAAAGGCTATGAAGGTTCCCTCCAAAACTGCCTTGGCCGCAGCCTATATACCCTGGCATGTGCGTTTCGATGCCTTGCATTTCCTGTATATTTTCTCTATTTCCGTTTGTATTTCCCCTTTGAGCCAAGAGTTGTGGATTTTGTGGGTTTGTTTTCTGCTTTCCATTCCTAGGTAGTGGGGGCTTTTATTGTAATTAATGTCTGGGTTGCTTTCATTTGCAATCAGAGAATTTCATCCACACTATTTTAACTTTGGGGAATACACTGACGTTTCCTTTGTGGGCTAATATAAGGTATCAGTTCAGGGATACAGCCCTGGCTGGTGTAGCTCAGTGGATTGGGCACAGGCCTGTGAACCAAGGGATTACTGGTTCGATTCCCAGTCAGGGCACATACCTGGGTTGCGGGCCAGGTCCCCAGTGGGGGCTGCGCAAGAGGCAACCACACATTGATGGTTCTCTCCCTCTCTTTCTCCTTCCCTTCTCTCTCTCTCTCTAAAAATAAATGCATAAAATCATTTTTAAAAATCTTGACTAAAAAGAAAGGTGATGGATTTTTGTCTGCAGCTCATCCTCAACACACACTTTGGAGCCTGCCCAGCCACAGGTGGACCCAGATTACTTCCTCGGTTCTCATCACTTCGCAACAACGAGCTCAACCTCAGGACACGAAGGCGTCGAACGTGGCGAATGGCAACTCATGGGCGTGAACATTAGGCCGCAGATGAGGCCACCATCCCGATTCTGTGCCTCTGTCCCCGGTGCCTGGTCTTGCACGGCGCCCTGGAGACCCCTCGAGTGGCCGATCGCTGTCCTCTGAGCTGAGCGGAAGGCGCCAGACTTTGTCATTCAAACTCATTTCTCCCTCCCAGATCTCAGATTTGCCAAAGGGAGGAAATAATCCGTCCCCCTCGGGGGTCTCCGGACAGGCGGGAACCACAGAACATGTTAGCTGGTAAGCAAATCAGGCGTTCTTCTGGAGGCGGCAGGTGTGAGGAGCCGGAAACAAGAGACGGCTGGCACGAATAAAAAATACGGAGTGGGGAAAATTGGCCACAGGGCTCGGGCTGGCGGCGGACGTGGGTGGGTGACGGGGGCCTTCCTCCTGGCTGCCCAGGTTGTGTAGGGGGGTGTCTTATTATCCAGATGGGCAGATTTGATAGTGCATTTGGGGGCAGAAACATAGGGAGGCCAAGGTGTCTGTTCTAATGCAAGGCAAATGCAGCGCGCAGGGGAGTGCGTGGGGCAGGGCAGAGTCAGGGGCTCGATGTGCAGCATGTGACCGGGAAGAGTCCAGGGGGACAAGCGAAGGGGCGCGGCCCCCTTCCCCGCACTCAGGACGCAGGTTTCAGAGGCTGCCCTCGGCGCAAACTCCAAGTTACGACTTAAAAGAGCGTGAATGGAAAGAACTCAGAGGGACGGTCGGTGCATGCCACCATTTGAAAACACACACCCTCATTTAAAAAGCAACCATGGACGTACATTTGGGTAGCCCGTGGCAGTGTGCAGAATATTCCTAAAATGCACGTCCCCGGGACTCCATCAGAGGGCTGGGGGAGAGGCCGGAGGAGCTGCGTGTCCACGGCACCCACGGCGCGCCCCTTCCTGGGGCGGGAGGTGCGGGGCTGGCCCGGGCCGCGGCGTCTGACGGGAAGGGCTGGGAAGAGTGTTTCCTGGACCGGACGCGGGAGCGCGGGAGCTTGGCGGAGCGCACGGAGCCTCCCCGGGCCCCGGCTGCACGGGAAGTGCATGCAGATGCCCTTCTGCTCTGGCCACCGCGGAACCTTGGCGACGCCTCACATCCTCGCGGGGCCATGCACCCTGCAGTGCATTGTTTGTCCAGTGGTGTGCATAGGCAGGGGGGCCTTGCAGGCAAGGATGCTCCGTCCCCAGCACGTCCCGGTGGCGGTCCTGCCCCCTGCACGAATTACACCTGACTCGTGACTGACTCCCCGAGGGGCCCGCCCCAGGCCCCCCGACCCCCCGTCCCTGGTTTACAGGCCTGGCTGTTAGAGTCGCTGGCCATGATGGGAACCCCAGAAGTCTGGCTTAGAACCAGAAAAGTAAAGTGCAGTCTTGTCCATTGTCCACGGGGGGTGTCCATGGCCCCCTCTGGGGAAGCCGCAGGGGGGGGTTGGGGGTGCTCACCCGGGACACTTCTGGGCCCGCGTTCCTTGCCTGGGGGCTGTCACGGGCTCTGTTCACTTAGTGACAACTCACCCAGGTGTATGTTTAGATCTGTGTGCTTTTCTGCATGCATGCCACACTTAGATAAAGCGTTCAGGACGCCAGAAACGACAACTCGCCCGTAGACACAAATAGCTTCTGAAGAAACATGCGTTTACTGTCCGGGCAGGGTGGTCCGGCCGCGGAAGCATCACCCGTGGGCTTCCGCCGGTCACCTGCCTGTCCACGGTCCCCTGACCAGTGAGCCTCACCATGAAACCAGCTCCGTGGTGGAGCCCTCCCCACCCCCGCCGTGGAGACGGCACCGCCGCCCGGGCTGTGTCGGGACACGCGCGGCCGAGGCCGACATGCGGGGCTCGGAGCCGGGCCCGGAGGCGGTTGGCCCGCGATTGTGCAACACGTTCGGTCTGTGTTCCGCTTTCAGGCACCACTGCGCCTGTGCCAAGGCCACCGACTGCCAGGCCTTTCCCACTGACCCGAATAAAAACACCGTCAACAAACCACAGCTCTGAAGGGTGGGGGGGGGGGGGGAAGAAGCCACACAACCCAGCGTCCCCGTGACGTCACAGCCCCGCACGTGGGACGCCGCGCGGCGGTGCCCCCGCAGCGCCTTTTCCAGCCCCCCCCCCCAATCGGGGAGAGCGCGGAACCGAGTGCGGGTCAAAGAAACGAAACCACAGCAAAGGGGGCTTCCGCGGCCTGGTCCCGGCCTGAAAAGGGAAGCAAGGACGTGGCCGAGCCCGGGGGGTAGGCCCGCCGGAGGGACGAGGGCGCGTGTCCCCGCGCCCGCAGGGAGGCGGAGCCCTGACTGGTCACCCGACAGGGACAGAGCACGCTCCGCCCCACTCGCCTTCCCGACGCGCGGTTTTATGGGCCTCGGGGTCCACGGAGGATCCCGGAGTGTGTGCCCGCCCCAGACGGACGTGCGGCTTCTGGGGGCGGGGGGAACCCCGCGGGGACCCTGGGGAGGGCGTGTCTGTGCGGGGACCCCAGGGTGGCGGACGCCAGGACAGAACTGCAGTCCTTCAGCAGCTTGGGGTCGGCGTGGGGCGGTGGGCCCCGCGCTGACCCGGCCAGCGGGACAGAGCACGGCTTTGGGGGTGGGGGTCCCGTCCCCAGCTCCCCGGGCCAGGCCCGAGCACCCCCTGAGTGAGGCCGCCTCGATCTGTGCCGTGAAGTCCCCCCGACACCTGGGGGCAGCAGGCCCACGGGCGCCACAGGCGGGGTGGGCGCGCTCCGGGGCCGCCTGTGCACACACTTGGGTCCCTGCCACCGAACACTGCCGGGGGCTGAGGGGCGGGGGGCCTCGGGCAGACTCCAGAGGCGCCTCTTGCGCGTGGTGATCAGTACGCAAGCGGCAGCCACAGGCCAGGTGCACCGGGGAACGCAGTGTTTCCCGGGTTCGCAGACGCCGCGCGCAGGAAGACACCCCCCCCAACCCCCCTGAGCAACTTCTGGGCGGGAAGCCTCGTGGCGTGTGTGCGTGGAGTGCAGGGGGGACCCGACTCCGGAGACTCGGGTACGTGCCGTCCGGTGTCCCCCCCGCCTCGGGCGGAGCGGGGGCCTGGGACGGCCCCGCCCCCGCCGCCCCTGCACCTGCGGGCGGAGGGAACACGGGGCCCCGTCCTGACGTCACCGCCACTCCGACGGAAAAGGACGGACGGCTACTGTGCGAGTTCCAGGAACCCGGAGGCACAGGGCTGCGGCCGTCCGGTGAGGCAGAGGAAAGAGCCCATCAATCAGGCTGGGGGCGGGGGGGCGGGGGGGGCCGGGCCAGCTCAGAAGTGGGCGGGCGCGGCCCGGTCGGCCCGGGGCAGAGCACCGGACGTGTGTGGGGGTGGGGGGGGGGGACTCGGGGAGCAGAGCAGCCGGCCCACCGAAACCGAAAACAAAAACAGAAACCAGGGTCAGGTTGCGCACGCCAACAGTCCCGGCGAGCGAGAGCAGGTGGCGGCGCCACAGACACTGCTCTGAACTGTGCGCGTGTGCACAGGATGTGTTCCAGGGGCAGCAGGGGGCGGGGGCTGCGGGGGCTGCGGGGGCTGGGGGGAGGCGTGCTGGGGGAGGGGGGCAAGGAGACTCAGGGAAGAGGGTCGCACTGACACACACGGCTTCCCTCCGTCCTTCACAGCCGTGGGAGGGGGGTGCGAGAGCCTGACTCAGGCGGAGGTGCTGGGAGGGAATAAGGAACCTGCAGCTGCTCCTCATCCCTGGCTCCCGGGGTGTGACTCCCGGGACAGGGGTGCGGGGAGGGTTGAGTGGGGAGCATCTTTTCTTATGCGCCTCATACATAACCCCCCCCCACCCCCAATGCCAACCACACCTGAGTTTATGCTGATGAGGTGATTGCTGGGGAGTGAAGAAAGGCTGAATGTTGAGTTCAGTCATTAGTGGCCAATGGTTTAATCGGCGATGCCATTGTGTCAACTCTGTGAACTGCGTCCCCCGGTAAACAGGACGGGACCTGGTCCCAAGCAGAGAGCCAGGGTCAAGGTGCTAAGCTGATCAGAGCTGCTCACCCACCTGCGGCTCCTTCTGGGAACTCAGAGGTGGAGGCCCTGGCGAGACCAGCCACGGGGCATGGAGGGCCACAGAAGCACACACATTCCGGCACGAGCCTGCATCAGGTCAGGTGTGCTCAGGGGCAGTTCTTGTGGTGCTTCACATTTTACCGCGTGTAAACGTGTATTTTGTGCATGGACAGTGACCATAGAGATGCTATTGTAAACACAGCAACCTTTTAAAAAAAAATCCCCTCCTGAGGATATATTTATTGATTTGAGAGAGAGACATTGATCGACTGCCTCCCATACGTACACACCCCGACTGGAATCGAACCCACAACCTCTTGGCGTACCGCTGACACTCCAACCAACCGAGCTGCCGGGCCAGGGCTGACCACAGCAGCCTTGATTCCTTGGCGTTATTCAGTGTATGCTTGTCGGACACCACGTAGAGAAAGAGACACACAGCCCAGACCCGAGAGGTGCAGTTTTGAAAAACAAAAAGGGGGAAGTCTCTGCCTTGGGGGGCTGCCCCCTCCCACCCAGGGGGTTGCTGGAACAGGCGGTCCCGACAGGAGAACTGGGGGAAGAAGAGCCGGCGTGAACGGTGGAGACGGCCCAGAAGGTCACGGGAAGCAGAGGGCGCTGCAGGTCGGCAGAGCCGGGGAGTTTCAACGAGGGGCGGGCGGCGCAGCGCCGAGGGCTCAGGGGCCCGGAGGACAAGCCAGTGAACTCCGCAGGGACACGAGGTGGCCGACACGTGGTCAGGTGGAGCCCCAGAGGAGGAAGAGTCTGGGTCACTGGGAGGTGGCCAGTGAGGTCCAGCCTGAAGAGGCGGGCTTCCCTGGGAGGCCGCAGCGGCCCGGGGGGCGGTGCCAGCCCTCAGGCTGCGCAGGGCGTCCAGGACAGCCAGAGACCAGGGGCCGGCGGGCAGGCTGAGCTCGGGCTGCCGAGACCTGGGTCCCCCCGGGAGCCGGGGGAACCGAGGGGAAGGAAGGGTGAGCCCCCAGCGACACACACTTCTCCGTTGAAAACGTAAAGAAACATCACTGGTAACCCCACCACGCTGCAGCGGTCACTGCTGCCCACGTTCTGACCCGTAGTTTTCAAGACTTCCTCCCACTCACACGCCCCCTCGGTTTGAAGCCCAGCTCTGCCCGGCCACCGGCTGCGTCTTGCACGGGGGCCTCCCCCTCAGGGGCCACAGGCCCCGCTGTCCTCAGCTGCTCGTGGACCAGCCACCGAGCTCGTGGAGGGCGGGGCCACAGCCTCCGCCGTCAGGGCGTTCACACCGGCCACAGCCGTGCAGGTTTAAAGGCACACGCAGCGTGGACATACCACTTTACCCGGCTGTTTATTTCCCGACGGACACACCTGAGGGTACTTCTAGTTCCCCTCCCCTCTCCTCCCCTCCCCTCCCCTCTCCTCTCCCACACAGTGTTGTCCTAACACCCCCTGACAAGGTGGATTCCGGGAAGAGAGAAGCGGACCTGTGAGGTGTTGAGATGGGTCGCGTGGCAGAGAGGGCTCTGGGGACTCGGTGGTCGCTGTACGGAAGAGGAGGGATCAAGGTCGGCTTGAAGATTCGCAATCGGTATGTGTCATCAGTGAGGATGAGGCCCTCTCTCTCCCCCCACCACCCCCTCTGGGCCGTTGGAACCCTTCTGAGACGTTCCCCCAGTCGGCCGCACTCTCTCCCGCCCACCGCGGTCAAGCCAGGGCGGCCACGCCACGGAGAACGCGTTGAAAACCGCCTTTCGAGGGCCAGATGGAAACCACCACCGCCCTCCCTTCCCAGCGCCGGGGGCCGCGCGGGGCGGGCAGGTGCTGCGGCTCGTTGCTGCGGGGCGAACCATGTCCTCCCCTCCAGGACCTCGGGAGGTGACCTGACCTCCAGGACCTCGGGAGGTGACCTGCTTGGGAGGAGAGGTCGTCACAGAGGTGGGTAAGCTCACACTCAGGCACAAGCCTGCCCTTCCTCTAACTCGGCCAGTGCTGTGTGAAACGGGCAGCCGGGCGCAGGGACCCGCGGAGGTGCAGACGCAGGGAGAAGAGAGCACCTGCGGCCCAGAGAGGCCCGGGGACCCGAGGGTCCCTCTGCCCTCGGGAGCACCAGGCCCTGACGGCGCTGTGACTCGGGCCTCTCAGCCTCCCGAATGGGAGACGAGGAGTCCCCACCCACGGTGGAGCCACCCAGGCAGCGAATGGGAGTGTCATTTTTATTTGTGATTCGGATTCATCGAGACCCTCGACTCACGACCCAGTGTCATCCTCGGGCCGGGAATGCCCAGCTTGGGTTTCGTCATTGACTTGTTTTTAACGAGGAGCTCACATCTGCGAAGCCGCCTGCCAGGACACACGCAGGACCGGGAAATGACTCACGTCCGACCGTCACCCCCCCCCCCACGTCGCCCCCGTCCTCCCCGCCGACAGACAGCCCGAGTCCACGACTCCTCGTGCCCCTGCTCTTCTCTCGGTGCTGCTCCCCGTGGCCCTGCAGCGCCCACGCGAAACCAGCCCCATGGCTTTGAGGTGCACCAGGGTGCTGTGTGCTGCGTGACCTTGGGGACCGTCTGTCCTGCCCCCGATCACATTGCCGCGCTACGTGACGCTCTTGCTGTTTTGAAATGAAACGTCCCCGTGGCTGCCTGTGCCCCGGAGGCGCACTGACACCCTCGCCCGCCTCCCCAGCTGCGGCTCCCGGTCCCGCCGACAGGCCTGGCTGAGTCCCTGTGTTGCCGGAGGGCGGAGCCTCCTGGGCTGGCGGGCCTGGGGGGGGGACCTGTGGGGCTCACACCTGCAGGGCCTTCCGTCCTCGTTTTCCGTCATCTCTTCGGTCACTGTGACGCGCAGACACGTGTCCCCAGCAGCCGGCCGGCCTGCTGACCACACGGCACTTCCGTCTGGTCGCCGGCCAGGAGGACAGAAGGGCCCGTGGCTCACGTCGTCGCCGGGATTTCAAAGGGTGAGTCAGCGTTTACCCGGGGCCGTGAGTAAGTGCCCAAAATAGCCCTTTCCTTCCCTTGGGAACAGGACGGCCTCGGGGGGCGGGCGGACAGCGCAGAGCCTGGAACCCGCCGACCTTCACAGGGGACCCCAGGCAGGTCACCGAGCCCGGGGGTGCTTAGGTGCCTCCCGACTCTGAGACCGGAGACCGAACTCCGGCCGCCCTCCGCACTCGTGCAAAACCCGACCCCCGGAGCTCTGAGCGGGGCCTGGGGAACCGGCCGTTTCCTGCCCTGTTTCAGGGAAGTTCAGAGGGAACAGGATCGGTGGCTCCACAGGACCCGTTCTGGCCGTGACCCCCGTCCCCGCCCCCAGAACTGAAGGGCCCTGCCAATAAGGCTGCCCCGGAGCCTCCGGAGGGGCCTTTCGGGGGCCCGGGGGCCCAGGGGTGGCGGTTCCGGAGCCTTCCTGCTGGTTACGGACTGGGCGCCGGCGAAGGCGGAAAACCGAGAGACTGGGCGAGGGCCTGGACGGAAGGCTGGAGGAAGTCCGACCGGTGCAAACGCAGCCCCGAAACGAACTCTGCACCGTGAACTGGGGTCGGGAGCCGGGGCTCAGGAGGCAGCCGGGGGCTTGAGACACGGAGCACCAGCTGGGCCGCCTAACCCTAACCCGTCCCACCTGTGCCGGCGAAGTGTTCCAGGGCGTGCCAGGGTTCAGGTGTCTGCTGGTCGGCTTCCGACCCGACCCCGGAGGCTTCGCCACGAAATCAGGAAAAGGCTGGAAAGGCGAGGTTCGGAAGAGGAGCTGGGGTGTTCGCCCGGCTCTGCTGCGGGCCCCGCTGAGCCCACACCAGCCGAGGACACACGGGCGCGGTGGTTGGTTCACTGCCGCCGATCCCAGGCCGGTGCAGTGAGCGCTGGTCTGAGGGAGAAGCCAGTGAAAGATGTACCTCGGTTTCTAACAAGCTTATTAAATCTTCACCAGCAGGGTTGTACCCAGCGACCACAGATCATTGTCTTAGTGTAGAGTGGTCTCTTCCCTTCCAACTTTTTTTATAATTAAACCCATATTCTTTTTTCAATAGTTTTTAAAAATATTTTATTTATTTTTAGAGAGGGAAGGGAGGGAGAAAGAGAGAGAGAGAGACACATCAATGTGTGGTTGCTGGGGGTTATGGCCTGCAACCCAGGCATGCACCCTGACTGGGAATCGAACCTGCGACACTTTGGTTTGCAGCCCGTGCTCAATCCACTGAGCTACGCCAGCCAGGGCTCCCTTCCGACTTTTAACAGCCCCCACCCCCCCATCCCGCCCCCTGACCCAGGGCAGACAGACACGTGCTGGAAAGAGCTGGGCACCCTCCTAATCTCGTTTTCCAAGGGGAGAACCTCCTTCTGGGTAAAGTGGTTGTTTTGTTTCGTTGCCCAGCACTCGGAATCTGGCCGATTCCGAGAAGACTTGGTCCTTTGCTCGGAAGGGAGCCTCCGGCGTCTGTTCCGTCACCAGCGGCCTGAGCACTTGTGTTCCAGGACAGTGAGGCCTTTTCCCGTGAGGCATTTCCTTCCTGACCTTCCCCGCAGACAGTCCTGCTTTATTTTTAGTCCCGCTCCGGCCCCTGGGGCAGCCCGACCCCCCCGGCCACGCTCGGCTCTCTGGGGACACCTGCGCTCCGAGGCCGAGGGGCCCTTACCCGCGGGGATGAGCTCTCACGGCCCCCCTGCCCCGCCACGAGTTACATGAGCATGGGGGAGCTGGGTCACATTCCACACCTCCGAATCTAAACATTGCGGAGTCCATTTGTTTTGTATGATGTCGTGAGGCCCTCCAGGAAGGATTTGGGCCGTGTACGTTTTGAAGCCCCTGTTTCAACAACTGGAATCGTCCAGGAAATCCAGGAAACAAAGTGTTTTCCTGTAATAAACAGGCGTAAATGTCATGAGGCGTCCTGCAGACACTGGGGGGAACCCCTTCCCGGTCTCTTCCAGCTTCTGGGGGCCGCCGCCCCCCTCCCCGGGGTAGGGGCTCCTTCCTCCGTCTCCCAGGCCCGCAGCGGAGGAGCGCCCACCTCTCCTCCTCTGCCCGGTTCTCCGGCCCCCTCCTGCGCTTCAGCTCCCTTAAGATTACATCCAGGAAACCCAGCCCTGGCCGGTGCGGCTCGGTGGACTGAGCACCAGCCTGCGAACCAAAGGGTCACTGGTTCGATTCCCAGTCTGGGAACAGGCCTGGGTTGCAGGCCAGGTCCCCAACTGGGGGTGAGTGAGAAGCAACCACACACTGATGTTTCTCTCTCTCTCTCTCTAAAAATAAATAAATAAAATCTTAAAAAAAATCCCAGCACACTCGTCTCAAGATCCTTAGTCACATCAGCAAAGTCCCTTTTGCCACATGAGGTGTAACGTTACATTCAGTTTCTGGGGGCCGGGGCGTGGACCTCCGTGTGTGTGTGTGTGTGTGTGTGTGTGTGCGCGTGCGTGCGTGTGTGATGACTCTGTCCACAGACGAGACTGAATCGTTGCGGGCTTCGTTCTCCAAAGAGCCATCGGATCCCCCTTTTGTCGTCATCATTGTCATCGTTAATTCCAGCTCACTCTTTAACATTCTCCTGAAGTTAATTCGGGAGTTCTCCACAATGATTTTTTGAGAACAATGCTTAATTGGGTTCATCTTATGCAATTAATAGATGTGTTTAGGTCTATAAATTATTCCCTTTGCACAGTGTTAATTGCCTCTCATGGATTTTGATGTTTTCATTATTATTTTCCACACATTTTAGTATTTTTTAAAGATTTTTTATTCATTTATTTTTAGAGAGGGAAGGGAGGGGGAGGGGGGAGGGAGGGAGAGAGAGAGAGAGAGAGAGAGAGAGAGAGAGAGAGACTGAGAGACTGTGATGCTTTGGTTTGCAGCCCGAGCTCAATCCACTGAGCTACGCCCGCCAGGTGAAGAGATAAAATTCCCACATATTTACAGGTAAAATTCAATGGCTTTTAGTTCAGTCAGAGTTGTGTACCCATCACCACCATCAATTTTAAAACTTTTTCACTAGCACAAAATGAAGAAAACATACAACCCAGGTTGTACATGCCTGTTTTTTATATTGTAATGTTTCTGAAAGCAGGATGTAATAATAATAATATTCAAATCGCAGTGCTTTATCTCCAACCCCTCCTCCACAAAAGGTGTTTGTTTTCTTTTTTTTCAAATCACCAGCCCTCCCGTTGATGGCGTCTCGGAACCGATAAGGGATTTCCTCTCATACAGCACGCACTCCCAGCAGACTGGGCTGAACCTCCCGATTCTTCTTGAGTCGGTCCCAGGGTGTTGTACCTGACGGGTAGCCTCTGAAACACGTAACGCCTGGTCCCTAGTGCAGCGTGGATGGGCTCGGTGGTTCCTCCGCCCCACGTCCTTGGGTCTGCGGTGTGTGCTGTGTGCGGGCAGACACTCTAACCACCTTTCCAGGGTGTTTACCACGAAGCGTGAGGGAGGAGTCCCCCACGTCCCCGTGACTCTGCGCCGCCTCAAACCCTGTGACATCACCTTCTGCTTCAACTTGCCGGGGAGAATTCTGCTCCCCAAAGCGAGCCCCCAAAGGCGCAGGCTGCCGGGGGTGTGTCCGGCAGAGGCGCCAGGTAAACAGCCCTCCCATGCGCACGGCTGTCTTGAAACCCGAAGGAAGGAAAGAAGTGAGCCTGAGCTTTCGGAGTTCCCTGTCTGGAGACCACTCACCATTCCACCCGTATAAGATCTCCACGGGTGCGTGGGCGTGTGCGTCTCTATGACGGGCAGACCCGGGGAAACACGGCAGAATGAACCAGGACCCCCAGCGGCCTCACGTTCAGGAATCTGAGTGCCAGGCCAGGCAAGAGAAGTCCCTGTACTCTGCCTTCACGGCAGCCTTTCCGTAGCTCTCTCCTGATGAAGATGAATGCGACCCGATCTCAAGTTTGGTTTTCCCATAAATCCAATAAGTATGTTTCCAAAACGGAAAACCGACACGGTATTTTTGAAACCTGCTTTACACATCAGGAGTGACGCAGAGCTGAACGTTTTTCAAGCTAAGTTGGGGCGGTCGGTATTAAGTTTATAAATACGCTTCCTCACTCACGGAGAAGCAAATGTTAGAACCCATTCTTCCAAGTTTTGTTGTTGGGAGGAAACATTCATTTCCCTACTCAAACTGAAGTCTCTCGGCACACACACACACACACAGACACAGTCACTGTGAACATCTCCCAAACCCTGAAAAGAATCTGAAGAGTTGGTCAACAACAGGCTTTTGACCAAACAGATGCCAAAAAAAGCGTTTTCCTTCCTTGCTGAAGTTACCTTCTCCATGAGCCATACACTGTGTGTTCAACCTGAAACAACCCCCCGAATGGGCTCACGCACCGTTTTAAACCCATAGGCACGGGACCCTGGAACCGGGAAACCCTCACGGGACGACTCTGGGGCCGACTGGTGTTAGTGCACCTGCCCTGCCCTTCCTGTGACTCAGACTTTTGTTGGCAACACTGTCCCGGGCCGCAGAATTCGAACAAAGGACCACCCTTGCCTTTCCAGTGGTGACCCTCGGCTGTCTGAAGGTCTACCGAATGACTGGTTTGTAACACACTAGAGCTGCAGTGCCCTAAAAAAATGTTTTAATTCTCAACTTCCAGTTCCTCCCTCCCTCCGTCTGGAGGACCCGTGTCAGCTACACGCGTGGGCCGAGAAACCCCTTCCAACTCGTTTCCGGGGTCCTTATTTTGGGAAAATCTTTTCTTATTTTCTTGCGCCCTCAGCACTCACGAGAAAAGTCAGGCTACTCTGAGTGAAAGGGGACGGGGAACACGAAAGTGACTTTGGGGTTCTAGTTCGGCACGCGAGCCTTGCTGTCCAGATCAGCGGGGCCCTCTGGAGCTTCCGAGTGACGGACACGGCCCACAGCCCGTCCAGCACGGCTGGCACCTGTCACGTGTGGGTACGCAGTGCTTGAAATGTGGCTGACATGTGTCTGAACCAAACTTTTTAAAAAAGACCTTACTTATTTATCGTTCGAGCGAGGGGCAGGGAGGGGGAGAGAGAGAGAGGGAGAGAAGCACCCGTCAGTGCCTCTCACACGCCCCTCATCGCTGGGGACCCGGCCCCCAGCCCAGGCACGTGCCCTGACTGGGAATCCAACTGCGACCTTTCACTTTGCAGGGCGACACCCAACCCACTGAGCCACACCGGTTAGGGCTGAACTGAATTTTTAACATTACGTAATTTCAGGTAGTTAAAATTCAAACTTAAACACCCACACGTGACTAGTGCCTATTACATTTGACAGCACAGT